TATATATAATATTTTCCAAAATATTTAATTTATTAAGTAAAATTGTGATTCTATTTATTGTTTGTTAAGAATAGAGGCGGAGCTAGGCGGGGTTCGTATGTTCGGACAAACTCACTAGCTTTTTTGTATACCCTATATTTGTATTAGAAAATTTTATATATATATATATAAAATTGATTGACAGCTTTGTGGTAAGGATGGATTTCCACTTTTCACACTAGTGTTGTGTGTTTGAACCCCACTATCAACATGCTTTGCAACATTTTTCTTTTATGTCCTAATTGAAATTTAGAACCCAAGCTCCAAATCGAATAATTGTGGCTCAGCCCCAGCCTAAGAGTTAAGAAGTGTGAGAAGTCAATACTAGACAAGTAAAAATAAACAAATGGAGAACTGTTAATTCTAGAAGAGTGTGTTAAGATTTGGATATCTATCTAATTTTTATGATGTTTTTCTTTTCATTAAGTGCCGCTTTAGGTCCTTTCAATTTTTACGAATAATATTCTTTTCGTTTCACCTTTTGAATTTGGAGAGTTAATTTTAAATAAATTTTTGACATAAAATCTATAATAATAATAATAATAATAATAATAATAATAATAATAATAATAATAATAATAATAATAATAATAATAATAATAATAATAATAATAATAACAATAATGATAATAATAATAACAATAATGATAATAATAATTAATTTTTTTACGTATATGAAAACGACGTAAAAAAAATACTACAAGCCACAATAATAAATAGTTTTAAAATATTTAAAACACATTTTGACTAACCGTTTAACATGTATTTTTTCACTCAAGTAGTATTTTTTATGTAGTTTTTAAATATCTATATTTTAAATTTAAATATTAATTTAATCTAATCTGATTTAATTTTAAAAAATAGTTAAATTAACTTTAGAGAACTAAAATATGACAAGTATTTGAAATGAAGGAAATAGTGAATTACCACCATATTTAAACTACGTGACTATTTTTCGAAAACTATGTACATTAATTTTTTTAAAATCTATTGGACTTAATCATATTAATTTATAGTTAATTCATATGCTTACCTTTATATTGCGATATACGAACTTTCCAATCATATATAAAAAGATATTAGTATAAGAGGGAATTACAAATAATTCAAGGCATTAAATTATGATAATAAGTTCATATTTTTTTTTAAAGAAAATAAATAAATTCAGAAAGAGATATATAGGGAATAAAAGAAACCTCTATTAATGAAATCAAATTGAACCCTTCATTTCAATTATAAAAATAACGATCAATCTGCTAGTTTATACTTATATGTTATTAAATAATTAGTTTATTTTATAGAGGTACGTATTTGTTTTTTTTATTTTTTTGGTTTTCCATCCGATGTTCGGAGCCTACATTGGAGCTCCGACTAAATTTGAATCGCATACTGCAGGGCCCATTCGGGGATGGCGCTCCCAACAAGATTTTCAGGGCTCGAACCCGAGACCTCTGATTAATGAGGTATGTATTTGTTTGACTAAGTCCAAGTTGAATTTATTTAGGCATGATGTATTCTTGTAAAGTGAAAAGGAAATATTATAAATCCACATGTTTTATGTATCATCACTACACCCATCTTCCATATTATGAGAGGATTACCTCTGAATGGTAATATTAAATTTTTGTACGGAATGTCGTAACGTGATTTATAGTCACCTTATTTCTTTAACTTTAATTATCCACTTCAAATAACGATTGATGCTATTTTTTTTTAAAGCCAAAGGGTTTATTCCATAACAAAATGGGAAAGTCTGTACATAGGCAGACATGACCCAAAAGTGGTCATGCCCCAAAATGAAAAGAGAAAACTAAGGGTGTGTTTGGTACGAAGGAAAATGTTTTCCATGAATTATGTTTTTTTAGAAAGTGTTTTCCTGGAAAACAAGTAGATTTTTGATTTATTTTCTCATATTTGGTTGGTGAGTAGAAAATATTTTTTTCTGGAAAAAGATTTTTTTAGTGTTTTGATTTATGAATGAAAAAATATTTTTGAAAAAATATCTTTTATTTTTACTAGAGAGTAGAAAATAATTTTTCAAATTAAAATTGATTTTTTTTTTAAAAATAAACTAAAATTTTTTGGCGGGGGGGAGGGGATCACGGGTAGGTGTGGAGTGAAAAAATAAAAAATTGAAATTTGAAAATATTTTTTAAAAACAAACTTAAATTTTTTTTGGAGGGGGGTGGGGGGCTGATGGGGGGTCACAGGTAGGGGTGAAAAAATAAAATTTTGAAATTGAAAATATTTTTTAAAAA